AGCCTCCCTTAAGCAAGAGGATAATTCCATGATGTCCTTTGTTGCTGAAGCTCAGTCAGCTGTTGAAGAATTAAAAATGTTCCTGGAGGTAGAATCTTTAGAGGAAAGAAAGACGAAGCTAGATAAATTCTATATGGTAATGATTCTTAAGGCTATGAATCCAGAGTTTAATCATGTTAGAGACCAGATTCTAACTGGAGAAGAAGTTCCTTCTACGGAGAGTTTAATCACAAGGCTACTTCGTGTTCCTTCTATCAAAAGCAAAAACAGTCAGAAACTTGCTGATTCTTCCACCATGATTTCTGCTCGTGGAAGAGGTAATCACAACTCTAGAGGACGTGGTGGGAAAGGACATCCTCAGTGCTCTCATTGCAAAAGAATGGGACATACTAAGGAAAATTGTTTTGCTCTGCACGACTTTACTGATAAGGCAGCTAATACCTCAAAATCTGAAGCTGATGAGCCCAAGTTCTCTCATGAAGAGTATCAAGAATATTTAAGGATGAAATCAACCAATTAGGCTCAAGCATCTACAACACCAAATTCGTCAACCGCTTGCATTTCGCAATCTGTGGAAAGTCAAAATCCGTGGATTATTGACTCAGGTGCTTCTGACCACATGTCTGGTAATACCTCTTTATTCTCCTCTCTTTCATTTCCTAAAACATCTCATCTCATATCTTTAGCTAATGGATCTAAAGTAGCCTCTAAAGGAATTGGTCAAGTATCCATCTCTTATTCTTTAAACCTTCAAAATGTTCTTTGTGTTCCTTCCTTTCCATTCAGTCTTGTTTCTGTAAACCAATTAACCAAATCATTGAATAGCTCAGTAACTTTTAATGCCAATTGTTTTGTTATCCAAGAACGTGGTACGGGTCGACTGATTGAAGAAGGACATGAATCTGGAGGCTTATACTACCTTAGGACTAAGTCATCTATATCTTGTGTTGCATCCTTATCCCAAAAACTGTTACATGAGCGATTAGGGCATCCTCATTTAGCAAAATTGAAAAAAATGGTTCCTGAACTTCAGAACCTTCAAACTTTTGAATGTGAATCCTGTCAACTAGGGAAACATACCAGGTCATCCTTTCCAAATCATTCTGAATTTAGATGTGATTCTGCTTTTAGTATTGTTCATTCAGATATATGGGGACCTAGTCGTGTTTCATCTTTTGGTTTTAGATATTTTATTACTTTTATTGATGGGTTTTCTAGATGTACTTGGGTTTATCTTATGAAAGATCATTCTGAACTATTGTCTATCTTTAACTCTTTCCTTAATGAAATCAAAACTCAATTTGGAAAAGTAATCAAAGTTTTACGAAGTGATAATGCCAAAAAGTACTTTTCCAATGATTTTTCAAATGTCCTAAATTCTCAAGGCATTTTACACCAGTCCACGTGTCCTCGCACACCACAGCAAAATGGTGTAGCAGAACGGAAAAATAGACATTTGGTTGAAACTGCTCGTACCTTATTGCTGGGTGCCAATATGCTTATTCATCATTGGGGAGATGTTATTCTAACTGCATGCTTTCTCATTAATAGAATGTCATCTTCTTCTCTTGATAATAAAGTTCCACACTCTATTCTATTTCCAAAGGAACCAATTTTTCATGTTTCTCCTAGGGTATTTGGATGTATATGTTTTGTTCATGACATGTCTCCTGGCTTAGATAAACTCTTACCTAGAGCTATCAAATGTGTCTTCTTGAGGTATTCTCGTCTTCAAAAAGGATATCGGTGTTATTCTCCTGAAACCAAGAGGTACTACATGTCTGCTAATGTCACATTTTTTTAATCATCATCCTTCTTCCCTTATTCTATGCAGGATATTGATTCTGTCCAAAATGTTTTTCCTGTTCCCTTAGTTGAATCATTTGTACCTCCTATTCCTGACACCCCAAATCTCAACCAAAATACTCTAGAATCATCATCACAGCCTATCATCACCTATCAACGCAGGAACCAGGTGAACAATCCCATTCCCCAAGATGAGTCATCCAGAACAGGTCCTTCACCATCATCCTCTAATACCACGGCTCCTGATAACGATGACTCCAGTTGGCCCATTGCCATTCGCAAAGGTACTCATTCTACTCGTAATCCTCATCCCATTTACAATTTTTTTAGTTATCATAGATTGTCTCCTTCTTATTGTTCTTTTATTTCCTTTGTATCCTCTATTACAATTCCCAAAAATGTGGTCGAAGCGCTTAATCATCCTGGATGGCTACAAGCTATGATTTCTGAAATGCAGGCTCTTGATCACAGCAAAACATGGGAGCTTGTTCCTCTCCCTTCGGGAAAGAAAACAGTTGGTTGCCGTTGGATCTATGCTATCAAAGTTGGGCCCAATGGTCAGGTTGATCGTCTTAAAGCCAGGTTAGTGGCTAAAGGGTATTCTCAAATATATGGACTTGATTATTATGATACTTTTTCTCCTGTAGCCAAAATGACCATTGTCCGCCTGTTCCTTGCCATGGCCGCCATTCGTCATTGGTCTCTTCATCAATTGGATATTAAAAATGATTTTTTGCACGGTGACTTAGAAGAAGAAGTTTACATGGAGCAACCTCCTGGATTTGTTGCTCAGGGGGAATCAGAGTGGCGCAGCGGAAGCGTGGTGGGCCCATAACCCACAGGTCCCAGGATCGAAACCTGGCTATGATATCATGTTAAGGTTCCAACATAAAACCAATTGGCTATATGTGGAGTAGCCTAACATGTATTTAAACCATACCAAATGACACGAGGTAGGCAATGTGGGACTTTCAACAAAACCATACCAAATGACATGAGGTAGGCGATGTGAGACTTTCAACATGCCCCCTCCAACGAAGTCTGCCGGACCAGGCAAAGGGTATTCTCAAATATATGGACTTGATTATTATGATACTTTTTCTCCTTTAGCCAAAATGACCATTATCCGCCTGTTCCTTGCCATGGCCGCCATTCGTCATTGGCCTCTTCATCAATTGGATATTAAAAATGTTTTTTTGCACGGTGACTTAGAAGAAGTTTACATGGAGCAACCTCCTGGATTTGTTGCTCAGGGGGAGTCTGGTTTGGTTTGTAAATTATGTCGATCCCTCTATGGCCTTAAACAGTCTCCACGTGCTTGGTTTGGAAAATTTAGCTCTATTGTTCAAGCTTTTGGATTAAAACGCAACGAAGCAGATCATTCAGTGTTTTATTGTCACACTGCCCCTAGAAAACATGTTTATTTAATTGTGTACGTTGATGATATTGTCATCACAGGGAATGATGCTGCTAAAATATCTCAACTAAAAGAGCATTTGTGTAGTCATTTTCAGACCAAGGATCTTGGAAATCTAAAATATTTCTTGGGTATTGAAGTAGTTCAATCAAGAGAAGGTATTGTCATCTCTCAAAGAAAGTATGCTCTAGATATTCTAAAAGAGACAGGTATGATTGATTGCAAACCTGTGGACAGTCCTATGGATCCAAATTTGAAGTTAATGGCAAGACAGGGTGAAGTTTTCTCTAACCCAGAAAGATATAGAAGACTGGTTGGGAAACTTATTTATTTGACGATTACTAGACCTGATTTGTCTTTTGCAGTTGGTGTTGTCAGCCAATTTATGCAAGCTCCTTGTGTGGATCATTGGAATGCTATCATTCGAATCTTAAGATACATTAAAAAAGCTCCAGGACAAGGATTATTATATGAAGATAAGGGAAATGCCCAAATTTTTGGGTACTGTGATGCTGACTGGGCTGGATCTCCTATGGATAGGCGTTCCACTACAGGCTATTGTGTTTTCCTTGGAGGAAATATCATTTCATGAAAAAGCAAAAAGCAAAACGTTGTTGCCCGATCCTCTGCTAAAGCTGAATATAGGGCAATGGCGTCTCTTACTTGTGAACTTGTTTGGGTAAAACAATTCTTGCAAGAATTGAACTTCGTGAGATTCAATCTATGAAGATGTATTGTGATAATCAAGTCGCTCTTCACATTGCTTCCAACCCAGTATTTCATGAGAGGACTAAGCATATTGAGATTGACTGTCATTTTATTCGGGAGAAGTTGTTGACTAAAGAAATTTGTACTGAGTTTGTTGGTTCCAATGATCAGCTTGCAGATGCATTAACAAAATCTTTGAGAGGACCTCGAATGGAATTCATTTGTTCCAAGCTTGGTACATTAAATTTGTATGCTCCAGCTTGAGGGGGAGTGTTGAAGTATTTATTAGATTAAGTGTATCTTGTTGGACATTTATGAGATTAGTTGTAGACCTAGTTCCTAGAATGCATCTGTTTATCTTCTCTAGGATTAATCATGTCTCTCTATTAATTTATCTCTGAATCTGTATTTTTATCTCCTATAAATAAGAGAACACAAGAAGATGATTTCAGACTCTCAAAATCAGTTCTTTATTTTCCTTTTTCTATTTCAAGTGTGGAGAAGGCTAACGAGGAAGAATCAGATTCAGAGCGAGGGGAAGGAGAAGAAGAAGAAGAAGAAGAAGAAGAAGAAGAAGAAGAAGAGAGAGAAATTCCTTCGGTAAAGATCCTACAACTCATTGAAAAGCAAGGAAGGCTTAACCTCTAATAAATCCTTCAAGGTTATGGGAAAACTCAAAGGAGATGTGTTGGTGTTGATAGACTACAGGGCCTCAACTAATTTTATTTCAAAAAATTTAGTCAAACACTTGGCATTGGAAATACATGCATGACACACAAGAGTTTGAAGTAGAAGTGGGGACGGGAGAAAAAGTGAAGAATAGAGGAATGTGTAAGCACTTGAGTCTAGACGTGCAAGGGGTGCTAATTCAGCAAAAAAAAATTATAATGGAGTTAGGAGGAACGGATGTGGTACTAGGGATGGAGTGGTTATCAAGTTTAGGAGAGGTGAAAGCCAACTTTAGAAATCTGGAGTTATCTTGGGGTCATCAAGAAGAAAAGAGGATGCTTAGGGGCGACCCTTCCCTCTGCAAGTCTCAAGTATCCTGGAAAGCACTGAAGAAAGCCATTCACAATAAGGGAGAAGGGTATGTACTATCATACCAAGCAACAGAGTTGAAGGAAACAAAGGGAGGAATTCTAGAAACCCCAACGGTGGCAGCGGTGTTGGAAGAGTTTGCTGATTTATTCCAAGAACCTTCAGGACTACCTCCTAGTCGAGCTTGTGACCATGCCATCACCCTTAAAGAGGGAGCAAATGTCCCCAATATTAGACCCTACAGGTATTCCTTTTATCAAAAGAATGAGATAGAGAAGTTTGTGAAGGAGATGCTTACTGCTGGAATCATAAGGCCCAGCAATAGCCCGTTCAGCAGCCCAATAATTTTGGTTATAAAGAAAGATGGAGGGTGGAGATTTTGTGTGGATTATAGGGACCTGAACAAGCTAACTGTGCCTGACAAATTCCCCATTCCTGTGATAGACGAGCTGTTGGATGAATTGGGAGGGGCACAAGTATTTACTAAACTGGATTTGAAGTCTGGTTATCACCAGATTTGAATGAAGGATAAGGATGTGGCAAAAACAGCTTTCAGGACTCACGAGGGTCATTATGAGTTCTTGGTGATACCATTTGGACTAACCAATGCACCTTCCACCTTCCAAGCTCTTACGAATCAAATATTACGGCCTTTTCTAAGAAGATTTACTTTGGTGTTCTTTGATGATATATTAATTTACAGCAAGGAAACAGATAACCACTGGAATCAGGTGAGGGAAGTGCTGAAAACCTTTAGGGAGCATGGTCTGAAGGTGAATAAAAAGAAGTGTTACTTTGGTCAGGAACGTATTGAATATTTGGGTCATGTTATCTCAGGCCAAGGAGTGGCTGCTAACCCAAACAAAATTCAAGCTATGTGGGACTGGCCGGTCCCTAAAGATGTGAAGGGATTGAGAGGATTCTTGGGTTTGACTGGTTACTACAGGAAATTTGTGAAGAATTATGGAAAAATAGCTTGGCCGCTGACTCAACAATTAAAGAAAGACCAATTTCAGTGGAATGGAGCTGCTCAAGAAGCATTCGAGACTCTTAAGGCAGCCATGACTCAGGTCCCAGTCCTAGCTGTCCCAAACTTGGAAAAATTATTTGTGGTAGAAACTGATGCTTCAGGTCAAGGTTTAGGAGCAGTTTTGATGCAAGAAGGCCAACCAGTGGCCTATATGAGCCACACACTTTCAAAGAAAAATTTGATGAAATCAGTTTATGAGAAGGAGTTGATGGTTGTGGTAATGGCAGTCCAAAAATGGAGGCACTATTTGATGGGAAGACCCTTCATCGTGCATACCGATCAAAAGAGCCTAAAATTCTTGGTGGATCAAAGATTATTGGGAGAAGGACAACACAAGTGGATATCCAAGCTCATGGGGTTCGACTTCGAAATCAGATTCAAACCCGGATTAGAAAACAAGGCCGCAGATGCCTTGTCTATGCAATTCTCAACCCTCAACAAGGTGCAATTTAATGAATGGTAAGACTTGGAGGGGGAGATAGAAAAGGATGAAATATTGAAGAAGATTCTTCAAGAATTAACAGTGAATGATGGGGATCACTCAGGATATAAGGTGCAGAATGGTAAGTTGTATTACCAAAACAGATTGGTCATTCCCAAGGGATCTCCGAAAATTAAATCCATATTGAAGGAGTTCCATGATACTGCCCTAGGAGGTCATTTGGGATTTTTTAGAACTTATAAAAGGATAGCCAACTTATTTTATTGGGAGGGAATGAGGAGGATGATCCAAGCTTATGTTAGAGGGTGTGAGATATGCCAGAAAAACAAGTATCAAACACTAAGCCCAGCAGGGTTGCTACAACCTCTTCCAATTCCGAAACATATATGGACTGATATATCTATGGATTTTGTGGGAGGGTTACCTAAATCGGGAGGAATGGATACGATTTTAGTGGTGGTGGACAGGTTTACAAAATATGCCAATTTCTTAGCATTAGCACACCCTTATAATGCGAAGGATGTGGCCGAATTGTTTTTGAAGGAAGTAGTGAAATTTCATGGATTTCCTGAGTCAATTGTGTCTGATAGGGACCGGGTCTTCATGAGTTCTTTCTGGACCGAGTTATTCAGATTGGTTGGGACTAAATTGAAGTTTAGCTCAGCCTACCACCCTCAAACAAATGGTCAAACGGAGGTGGTGAATAGGTGCTTGGAGACCTATCTGAGATGTATGATAGGGACCAGACCTAGGCAGTGGCAAAGGTGGTTGAGTTGGGCTGAGTTTTGGTATAATATCAATTACCATGAATCCACGAGAATGACTCCTTTCAAGGCCCTTCATGGCCGAGACCCTCCTCCAGTGATTAGAGGAGATGTACCAACTACTCCCATGGAAGAAGTGACTTGCATGATGCAAGAGAGGAACGATATGTTGACTGAGCTTAAAGATCATTTATTGAAAGCCCAAAACCGCATGAAGCAACAAGCAGACAAGCATAGAAGGAAGCTAGAATTCCAGATCGGAGATTGGGTTTACTTGAAGATCCAACCCTATAAGCTCAAGAAATTAGCCAAGAGAATTAATCAAAAGTTGAGCCTCGATACTATGGGCCATATGAAGTGATTGAAAGAGTGGGAGAAGCGGCTTATTAATTGAAGTTACCAAAAGGAAGCAAAGTGCACCCAGTTTTTCATGTATCATTATTAAAGCCCGTGGTGTCAAAAGAAGTACAGGTGCAGCCACTTCCCTTGGGTGTAACGGAGAATTGGGAGTTGGAAATGCAACCAGAAGAGATTTTAGCTATTAGAGAAGGAGAAGGCAAGGCTTCCGAGGTGTTAGTAAAATGGAAGGGTATTCCATCATGTGAAAATTCTTGGGAATCTCTACAGAAGATGAATGACTGTTTTTCGGAACTTCACCTCGAGGACAAGGTGGAATTTATGGGGGATGGAGTTGATACAAACATAAATATAGAGAAACAAAGGCAAAGGGGGAAATTCACTAAGGTTTACGAAAGGAAGAAGTGGAAACCCATCTTGTGGGGTCCACAAACACACACCCAATGATTGGAATCGTAACAGAATTGCTAAATTGGAGAGAGAGAATATAGGGAGGGGGAGGATGTGTGGAAGGGGGGGCTGGGAATTGGGAAATTGGGAAATTGGGACCATTGTTACGTAGAAGGAAATCCTTTCTTTCTACTCTGTTTTGCGTGAGCCGAGTTACCATAATAATACTGTTTTATTCATATATGTTACTATTCTTCTGATTTTCTGTTGTCTCTATCAATATATAAATACATACCTCAGTACCTTTAGGTATATGCTGCACAGCACGTACCGATGCTGACCTTCCCTCAAAAACCAACACAGAATTGGGCAAACAACTATATGGAAAAACCAAGATTAGAACACCGACAAAGAAATAGGATAATAAATACATATATTGGGGCGGGGGTGGTAGAATAAGTGGTTACCTATGATTGATAATGGAAATAACAGGATACAACCCTGTCCCCACAGGTCTCAACTCACTGTCACAAATAGTATGTGCATTACATGCAAACTGCAGGATTAGAGGATCTGACCTTAGAATGGCATCATCAGAGTCAAATCCACATAAAGAATATCTTATATCTAACACAAATAAGTCTAAATCCACGTGAACATAATCTTTTTTGTCAATGGAGAGTTCTGTGTGTGATTTTACATGAGAACAAATTACTAAAGTTATATCAAATGATTTAGGCATAGGAGCAGCACAAGACCTTAGAAAAATTTTCTGTAATCTCTTTTATATTGATTTCCGGCCATTGTAATATGGAATATACAAGATTGGCCATCTGTGCATAGAGCACCAGCTGCTCCTCTGTGATATCAGACATGTCTTCATGAAAGTGAATGTTAAAAAGAACAATCATAATGGAAAAGTAAGAAATGGAGAAAAATCTAAATTCATTTCAATACACTTTAAGTAAAACTAGTAGTGAAAAGGATACGAGCAACTAATGCCTCCACCAAGTTGTAGTTGTCCGTAGCAGTGCTTGGGATGACCTGGCCATAAAACAAATAATAAAACTCTCATAGAGCTGCTCAATGTTCAAATCAAAATATTTCTGATTACACATAAGAAACTTTTCATAGCAGAAAAAAGGAACTTTCAGGACAAGTCATCAAAGGCAAGTTTAAAGAGCCAGCTGAATATAGAAATTAAGAAAGGAACGACCAAGGTAAGTATCCAAGAGACTGGTCAGTGAAGAATATTGACATTCTACAAATTTTGGCATAAAGCACAACAGTCCATAATTACTCTGTTTGGAATCTAATAAAGTAAGCTCCAGTCTTAGTTTAACTAACTTCCTCCATGTTAATCTTATGGGATTGTGACATTAACTACTGTGATTGCTAAATCAATAACATAGTCAATAACTAAGGCCTCCATTTCCAGGCAGAATACAAGAGCACCATGTATATTTCAAGACTACAAGTTAAGAACTGGTATATACAGAGTCTGTAACTAAGAGATTCTTTTTCCAATGTTTGACGTGAAAAAATAAAATTTAATGGTATTCAGAAAGATCAAAAGAAAATATGTTTTACAAAATTGATCCCTCAACATCTATTGACAATTCCTTCCCACTTCCAAATATGGATAAAGCTTGTTAACTGACTTCAGACAATAAGGTTTAAAGTTTTGTATCAACAACCAGGACATAAGCCTCATCTCACAAGGAGAGCCTGACTACATGACCCATGCGACGTCATTTAGCTCGGTTAAAGACTTCATTTTTATTACATTGCATTAATGACTTCCCAGACATACTCCATACAGCAAGACAATGACGTAAGATTCAATTTCATAATGTAAGAAGCAGCTCTGGCTTTTTTGCACCAATACATTACTCAAATATTAGCTTTCTATATACCTTATCATTTTGCAACTTCCTCCGAAGATAAAGTCTCACCATCAGCCGTATGGATGGTGTGACAGAATTTCTCTTTTCCTTGTCAAGCCTTGAGAGTACCTCACACTCAAGCCGATGCAGCTCCCACTCTGACCTCTGAACAACATAAAAAACATAAATAAAAATACAACAAAAGTTACACTTAAAGTGCAAATAGATATATTAACCCCATTAGCTATATTCACACTCAAACTTCGTAGGAACTGAATCTATCAATAAAGGGGGAAGAGGTGATGAAGACGACAAGACCTGACATGCGGTTCCGCAATAGTATGCAACATGGCAACGTGAGCACCTTCTAAGGGCATTAGATGTAGTGAAACATCCATCACACCTTTTGGGGGTGGAAACTGAGGAGTTGTTTGGAACACAAACGTAAGGCTCTTGGCCTATAATCACATCCCCTGCAACATCAAAGATGCGTTTAACATTAACTAGTTGTGTGTGTATCATTCTCCAAATTCGGCGTCTCATTCATCATGCAAACAAGTAATGAATGGAACGAGTAAAAGAGTTGAAACTACAATGAGAGAGACCTGAATAGAAATCCCTTGTAGCGAAGAGAGAACGACCCTTTCCTGGGACGATGGGAACTGATAAGTTACGATCTTTTAGGGCACTCTGCAAATTCTCCATTGCTATGTGGAAGGAAGGTACCTACCTCTTCAGTCTTCAGTTCCCTCTCCCTTATGGTTAGTGGGTTCGGGTCACACCCGCAACTTGTTGCGTGGGTAACCTTTGTTTAACTTTTTAAATCTCTAACTAGTCCTTATTCTGTGTCCCTATTTGCAAAATTTATATTCTTCCCTAAAATTAAAAACAAAACATATTTTGGTGATCATATCATAACCATGCATCATGTCGGTTATATTATATGTGTAATAGATTATCTTCAGTGTCAATAAATTTTATTCTTAAAACACTAAGATAATTAACAATAATTTTAATGTATTTATGAATAATTTGAACGTTGATTATTAGTCACAATTACGTATTTACGGATATTCTGATTTTTTTATTTATGAAAATGCATATAATATAAATTATCTCGAATCATAGGATATTAATATTGAGCATGACCAAAACTTATTTGTACGACTTTGGTTTCTAATAAATTGTTGTCAAATACACAAATTTTTTAAAGTAACAAAATTAATCACCTTAACTGTTTCAAACGATTTGTCTTCTTTAATGTTTTCCTTTCAAAATAATAGATAAACTTGCATGACGATGATTCTATAAAAAAAAAAAAATTATTTGATCACATGTGATGATTAATAGTTTTAATATACACAATATAAATAGAATACTAATCATCTTTATTATATTATGTTTACCATGTTACACAAGTTATAAGTATAACAAATTTCATATTAATAATTGTTTGACTTTATATATCAAAACTAATATAGTTTGCATTGTAAAAATTAGTTATTTTAGTTAAAAATATATTACCTATCATATTTTCAAGTATCTAATATGTTAATATTATTTAAAGAAAATAATAGATTAGATTAAAGTGAATAGATAAACAAATATTTATTATTGATAAATAAATATACTTTTTCTTTTGTATATCTTATAAACCAGAGAAATGACTCGTGCTTTGTAATATAACAGTCAAACAATCTTCTTGTTTTATTTTTATTATTTGTTTAAAAATGCGAATTATTAAGAGAGAAATAGAAATTTCATTTTAATACTAAGTTGAGACTTGAAAGTGATTGAATAATTTTTATATACTTACATATAAAAAGAGAAAAGAAAAGAAAAGAATATATATATATATATATATAATAATTTATTTAATATTTCGTAGTTTATACCTTCAAAAATTAACGCAAAAATATATTTTTTCAAGAATAAAAATAATTATTTATTATATTTCGTATATTAAATTTTATAAAAATCTTAATTATATATATATATATATATATATATATATCAATCTATTTTTTATTTGCTATATTTGATTTTAGAAATTGTGAAAGAAATTATGTTTAGTTTAAGTACATTTTAAATTTTTATTTTATTTCATTATTAATTTTTAAAATTATTTTTGAAAAATCTATAAATATTTTTTTTATCATGTTCTTTTTTATATCTTAGGTCTTTTGCTTTTTACTTTCTTCTTTCATTTTTTTAATTACAATTTAATAAAAAAATATTAAAAGTAATTTTTTTTAAATCGATATTGAACTTAAAAAATTATCAACTAATAATTTAAAATTATGATGATAAAAAATAATTTTATATATTATAACAATAAATAATTTTAATTATGAAGATATAAATAAATAATTTAAAATTATTTTAGCATAATAAATTAATTATTCATCTAATTAAAAAACATTAAAATTTATAAGTTAAATATATTTTATTTAGTAATTTAATTAAGTCTTAATTAGATTCAGATTAAATAGTTTTAAACAATATTTATTGAAAAGTTACTTTAAAATAAATATTTTTTTAATGTAACAATAATATCTCAAATTTATTGTTTGATGTTTTTTTAAATATAATATATTAAATTATAAATTTAATTATTTAAATTTTTTATTTTTTTATTTTTTTTAAATAATAAAAAAATTATTTTATTAAATTTTAATATAATATTTTTAATTAAAAAAATAAGATAAAAGGAGAAAATAAACAAAAACAATCACGATAGAATTTTTTTTAAATAACTAAATTGTACTAGATAAAATTATTTTTTATTATCAAATTTTATATATAAATAATAAATAATTTTAATTAAATAAATAAATAAACATAAATTTTATTTAAATAATTTTATAAAAATATATTATTTATAAAAGTTAATTTGTGAAAAAGTTTATCATTACCCGTATGTATCCCCCTAGTTCTTATTACTTCCAGAAGTGTGATATTGTTCGATTCTTGCAATTTTCATAAGTTTTGATGACTGAAATGCAAAAAACAGAAACATGTAGTAGTGACCGGTCATAGGGGTGGAGCCACCTTGTTTTTTCCGACTTTGGTAACGCTGTTTGAAGTCAGAGAAGAAACATTGATGCTGTTGCGCAACCCTTCTTGGACAGCATTGTTGCTATCAGCCACCACAAGGAGGATCTTCAACCACCGCTTTTCTACACCTTCGTTCATGGCGTCTCAAGGTTCGGTCTTTAAGGGTTTATTAGTTAACTGATTCATTTGTTAATGAACAATTAATTAACGAATTCACTGTTGCTGAACAATTCGATAGAGTAAAGCTTGAATATTGAAAGTGAAATAGTTGTTCCTTCTTTTTAAATCAGCATTGGACTGCAATTTGCTGGTTTTATGTGGAAAATCATTGGCAGAGAATGAAACTGCCAAAGCTATAAAAACCAATAACACTCTCAAGCTCCCTGGGAATGGAGTATACTCCCTCATTTTGCATGCGGAGCTTGATAAGGCTGTTATGCAAGGGTCTTTTCAAATTCACTCCTTTATGGATTCTCTTTCCACCAATCAATTTGGCAGGCTTCTCATCTGGTCCCCTCAGTTACCTTCAACACATGATATCGTTTCACAGTATGTTTTTCGCCTTTAGTTTTTTGTTCATTGTTTTAGACCATGCTTCGTTTAAACTGAATCAGCTGCGGAAAAATGTCTTTGTTGTGCCTGAAATAATGTCTCATCATCTTTATCGCATTTTCTAATTACCCATATTAATATTTTATTTTCCTAAATTTGGCACTCTTACTTTGTTCAGAAATTTTTGTGAGCTTCCCATTGGTTCAGTTTGTGTTGCTGATGTTCAGACCAAGGGACGAGGTTTGATATTGATACAACATTCAGTGTTGTGTATCTGTCCTTTTCAACTTCTATTTTGGTTAAAGTCAAAGATGCCCTGAGCACTTAAACTCTCAGGTCGGTCGAAGAATGTCTGGGAGTCTCCATTGGGTTGCCTCATGTTTTCTTTTACTTTGCAAATGGAGGATGGCCGAGTTGTTCCTTTGGTTCAGTATGTGGTTTCCCTAGCTATTACAGAGGCAGTCAAGGATATCTGTTACAAAAATGTAAGTGCTTTGTTTTGAAGTATTGACTTGACACCTAGCTTGCCAGTGAATTTGATAAGGGAAATTGTAGTGAGGTTAACAAATTTAAGTACATGGTTTTCTATTTACACAATACAAATGTGCAAGTTAGACTACATAAGCTGAAAATTTTAATATTTTCGGAGACTAATGCCTGATGTTGCTTTATGTGACTCTGAGAATAACAGCAGTAAGAATGGTGTTTACGTTGTGTTTGGCAGTGTTTTAAATCAACAAGCATGATTTATCACAATGTTAATTTGTTCTCCTATTGTTTGGCATTGTGGGCCCTTAAATACATTTTGTTCTAAAGCTTTCCATTCCAGGGGTTACCCAGCATAGATGTTAAAATCAAGTGGCCAAACGATCTTTACTTAAATGGCTCTAAAGTTGGGGGCATTCTCTGCACCTCATCATATAAATCAAAGAAGTTCAACGTTAGTGCAGGTAATAAATCATTCTTGAAAAGGAATGGCATTCAATTGTGACTGATTGCACTTCTGTCCCATGTACTTAATTAGCTGAAGTTGTCTATTAAATGCCTGTTTTCTGCAGAGAATTTGTTTTTCCTTAATATCATTTTGGTAAGAGTAAAATGATTTTTCAAATTTATGTTCATGAAGATGATCATAACAAATTTCGTGCTTTCACAGGAATAGGCTTGAATGTCAATAATGAGAAGCCAACAACATCCTTAAATACAGTTTTGAACGAGTTGTCTACAGGAGCTTACCAATTTCAAAGAGAAGATATTCTAGCTGCCTTTTTTAAAAAATTTGAGGAACTTTATGGTTTATTTGTGAATCAAGGTATTGCTGTATTAGTTAACCATTTAGTTTGATATTGCATTCTGGTTTCATATCTGAATTCTGACACCATACCTCAATTCTGGTTATTGTGTCAACATCTTGTACCTGCGTTCATTCCTCTATCCTGCACTTTCTCTGAAAACCCATGGATGTATAAAATCATTTAACAATCTGAATCAACTTCTTGAATGTATGCTTCTCACCCTTGTGTATCAATCACAATGGAAGATACTTGTAAGCCTATCCTTTTTATATCTAAATTAATCAAGCTACATGCATATATAGGGATGAAAATTTGGAAATATATATTTTGGGAAAGCAGAGAAACAGGCAAGAGAGAAGAGAGTACTGTAACCATAGGGCATAGGATGCAAAACTGATGTATATAATTGAAAATATTTTCTGGTTTACCACTGCAAGGGCAAAACTCCATGAGCATCTATTTTTTTATTTCTGGTATTTATTTTTTCCTTTTTAAAGATATACTGTTTCTTTTAATGGCTTGTACTCATGACTTAGAGAGTGAATCCTGACACAATTGAAAGGTTTCCTTAGGTTTGTTGTTCATTTATAAATGCATAAAATTCAATGCAACTTATGCCATCAAACTGGTTATTGAACTGACATCAAATTGGTTCCTAGAACAACAAATTGGAATGTATCCTTCCATCTTAGATTTTCACATGACTGTCTCTCTCCCTTTAGACATTGAATGGGGAATGTCTATGAAGAGCTATATAGATACTCACAAGACATTATCAGTGAAGATCTATTCTCAGAACTAGTGGCTTTTAATTGAAGGACCAATTTAATGTTTCCGATATATGGATGATCAATGTGATCTCACATACATATATGGAAGTAAAAATAGGCATTTATTAAAATAATAAGATAACATAAAATAAAATTTGAGAAAACTATTTAGGATTTAATATAGTGCCGATACAATTGTATATATAGCAAAAGGGATATAACAGAGAGGATATGAGTCTCAACCCAAACCCTTAACCTAGCCTAAGGAACGTACAAAAGGAAAAAGTAATAATAGACAAAACAAACATGTCTCAACAATAAACAACCAAAACATTGTTTTTCAAGTTTAAATAATGCAATTACTTAGATTCCTGACTTTAGAGTTTTTAAGCACTCATTACTCTACATCACCGAATATGTTGATTATTAGTAAGGTAATTTTGAGCATCACCTATCTTGTTAAATGCAGGATTTCAGACTCTAGAGGAGCTATATATTAAAACATGGTTGCACAGGTGACTTAATTTTAAAATTCTCACATGTAGTTTTGATTTATTTTATTGTATTGGCAAGGATTCATAGTAAGACTTAGGAGAATTGGTTGGTTTTCTGGTAATTGCCTTTGAATCTTCTTTCTTTTGTAATGCCTTGAGTTATAAGATACAAAGAATGTGAGCCTCTGGTTGCTTGTTGGCATGGGTAAAGTTGAAGGAAAAGTTAGGGTTCATGATTGAGGTTGCAAATTGAAATATGTTGACAATAAGTTGATTGAATTCCCTGTTACTTTGCCATGGTAAAATCAGAGAGTCATTGTTACTCTGGAGACTATTTTTTTCCAGAAAGTTTAGTGACTATCCTAGCATTCAGTGAATAAGTTTCCATCGTGTGTGGCTGCATAATGTGTTGAAAGTCGTTATCATTAATGTTTATACATAGAGGATTACCCTTGACTTCACTGCACCCTAGCTTTAAATAGTAGTTCTGATGATTCTTTGTCCTAGAGGACTTTTTTTACACGATAGAACTATGAGGGACCTCTGCATTCATGCTATTTCCTGCTTTTCATCTCTTATTTGGACCACAATTCTTTTTGCCACCTGTCCCAGAAAAAAAGAGAGACAAAAATATGTCTCCATTTGTCCTCTTTACCATCATTTTATTCTTATCCTTTCACTTTAAAATTCAAATCACTAGAACTAGCAATTAATCACCATATTAAGCTTTTAAGTTTTAATTCCTTTTACACTTGATACTTGGTAATAATCTTAATCATGAAGGGGTCAATCTGAATCTCCAACATTTTGTCACAATGCTGACTATGAAGCAGAAATACTCTTCTTGTTGGAGACGTTAGACGCGTTTACTGGATCAGCAATTCCTCAACACTTACATGACATGTATTAGACACTCCTCATTAGGGTCCACTTGTATTATATTTTATCAGCTTAAACGCTTCAGCCAACACTTCCATGCTGATGGGCACTTCGAAAACATTAATATTATAAAAAGAGAATATTATTTATATTTTTTGAAAAAGAAAATCAGAAAAGTTGGCATAGAATGTATTATAAAATATTAAAAATAATGTCTGTTGCTATGTTTTTTGTTAAGGCAATGTCCGAATGAAGTTTAATACACAAGAATATACAAATCTTGATTATCATTTTAAGATTATATATATGTTTTGTGGTCTTACATTTTTGGACATTAATTGTGTTAGAATGTCTGTATCAATGTTGTGTATGGTGTCCATGTTAAAGTTTGTGCTTTAGATAATACTAACAACTAAACTCATTTATTCATTTTAATTAGCAGCTGAATTAAAGTTTTAAACATATTGTTGAATTCATCATTGTGTTTGTGCTTTTATTTGGAAAAACATAACTTTTTTATGCATGAATGTGGCATATTAAAAAATGTTGTGCAGTGGACAGAGAGTTGTTGTGCAGGAAAAGAATGGGGACAAAATGATCGAGCATGTGGTCACTATTCAGGTTTGGCAGATGAAAACTATTCCTTCTGACTTATTGTTCATAGAAAACTAATATGGTTTACACTTGATATAAAATTTGCAGTGAAAATATATAATTTATGTTATTCATTATCAGTGATAACTGTTAGAAATTTTCAAAAATGAAATTGTTAGATCAAGTGGAAGAATGTAATATATGAAAATTATCTGTCAACCATTTCCAATGGTAATATTGATGATTTAAGTCGGTTGTCATTATTGCTGTAAAGTAATTTTTCTGTTATTTTATGCTAAGGGTTTGACATCCTCGGGATATTTATTGGCTGTCGGTGATGACAATCAAATGTGTGAGCTCCACCCTGATGGTAATAGGTAATAGAACAAAATACCTTTTTCTTCTATCTGCATGATTAAATTGTGACCAAAATACTACTGGAAAAAACAATCAACAGTTTAGGCCTTTGAACTTTTGAAATTTTTAGCACACATGTTGTTATCAGAAACAGTGATAAATTTCACCGGGCACATTTGTTAATAAATTGGACTTTTCAAATTACATGAGTGCATGACCTGATATTATTTTTTATTGAAATTCAAAATGATTTTTCTACCGTGTTACAGCTTTGACTTTTTCAAAGGACTAGTCAGAAGGAAACTCGACTGAACAAGATTCCTTGACACATTTCACAAGAGGCTCTATTGCATTTTGTATATATTATTAGAACCATATTTGTTTAATATATGCTGTCATTAGAACTTCAGAGCATTTGTATCCCATTTGTGAATTTCCGTCAAACTTATAATGCGCTTTCCTTGTCCGGTCAAACAAGATCTTCTATACATCATGGCACGTAAAAAGCATCATGCAGTTGCAACCAAATAGTTACTTTTTTTTTTCTCTTGATAGGACCTAGTTCATGATTACCATAGTCAATCATTTGTAAGGAGTATGGTGGTCCTTCTTCGCCAGCTATGAAATGATTTGAAAAAGAAAAAGAAAAACCGTTCCTATGATTCATACTTGTGCTCAATAATCGCCTTTGCTTCCAAATAAAGTGTGCCCGAATTAGATGCTTAATCAGATGTGTTGACTGTCTGTCTTTCAAAAATCGGTCGCTTTTTGAAATTGGACTCATTCGCCATAATGCCATATTTGATTTCCTTATAAAAACAAGCAGTACTTTTTCCCCCATTGGCTTTATATAGTAATATTTACCCATTTATATTGTCGTATTCTTATCGCATACTAGTATCATGTAACAAGATAACATAATACTTATACTCATAATTGAGAATTTGCATTTACTCCACAAAGAGTAGTGTAGTGCTAGTGATCCATAATGGTCCATACTCTTTCATATTCAACATGTATTTTTGGTGGAGTGGTTGGTGGGCTTGTCTGAGGAAAAAACTTTAAAGTGGCATGTTCAATGGTTGAGTTGTACTTGGTCTTTCTCTTTCGGGATCCGTGTCATTATTTGGTTGTATTTCTGTAAGTGAACGAAAAACACCACACCATCCGCAACACATGGACAGACTTCCTTACTTTCTACAAAATGCCTTGGCGATATGAGAGTTAAGGCCATAAAGCATGAAGCATGTCCATGCAACCTCCAATGTCTCCATCACAACGTGAAATCATTGGAGGTTGAGTCATTCTCAAAGGGAAGCAAAAGGGCATGTGAGAGAAGCTATCAGTCACAATTTTCGTCTCTTGGTCATTGGTGAAAGGCTAGTGAGAACTTCTAGCCTTTTCTTTGTTCTCCTTTTGAGAACTTGATCTCCCAGTACACCAATAAGCACCAAAGCTGCATTCTTCCGCTAAACGTGGCTTATTATCATTTACGTGAATCATGGACCAAAAAATGACTAGGTGAATTCGGGTGTTGGTCTCTACTCTCTATACGAGACAATGCCCTGACATGCAATTGTTAGCATCCATTGCATGTCACCACGTCTCGAGCCCCATGGAATTCTTTTAGCACCGGTTAAGGAAAATTAGTTGGTAATTTGGTATACGTCACGATCAGACAGAAATTTATAATATTCTAAACAAAATTATGATAAAAATATTAGCATTAACAACGTAGACGGTCCTAATTTTAGACTAGCTGTCCAGAGAATAAGGTTCTTGGCGCAATTCCAAAGGTTCGGAATAGAGAACTCATAAACGTGACTTTTTCTCGAGGGGCTGGCTTCTGGAAAATGAAGATTCTAACCGTGTAAAAGACTATGTGTTTACAGTAAATCTTGGGTATGTGGACAAAAGAAAATCTATACGTGAATATGGTGTTGTGCTTTCCAGGTTGGTTTGATTTTCGAATAATTAGCCTATATTCACACCTATGCTGTGGAATGTGGACGGTGTCTTCGGCAATCATCATATGAATGAAAATGGTTAAACAGTAGACAAAGGGAAAATCACACAATTGAAAATTGCCCACGTACTGTTTTTTACTTGGGTGACACAATTATATGATGCTATATTTATCGAAGCTTTTTATCTCTTCCACAACTTTCTTTGACTCAGATGGACTTATCAATTAAATTTCAAGTAAAAAAGTGTTTGCAGAATGTTTTTAGTTTTCAAAAATATGGGAAACATGATTTTAGATCTCCAAGAAAAAAAATGTTAATTTTAGTCTTTATAAATTATCAACAGGAGAGTCTGTAACAGGAACATCTATTATCTAAGAATATAAGAACAGTGACTTACAAAGTTCTGACCAAATATATTAGCATCTATTAGTAGAAACTATTTTAAAATTTTGTGAAAACCGAACTGAAATTTTGTTTGGCAAGCTTGTTAAAATAATAGTGAAAGCTTATAGAATAATAGAAAGCAGAATTTGACAGAGCAGAAGTAGAATTTGTCCCTCTAATGGATGAAAGGAAGTGAGGACAAAGGATGAACGCAATAAAGTGAAAAGGGCAAAGAAGAATCTGAGTCGAAGACAAAGAAGAACAGGGAAGGGATATCGGTTGAGATCATAGACAGGGCCTGCAGCATGCAAGTAAATTCGTGAATCATAATTACATATGATTAATGGAAAAAGAGACGAAAAGAATATTAGTCATAGATCCTTTGGATGATCACATGGGGAAGCAGGCTTGGTGGGCCAAAGCACTTGTGACTTCAACAGAGAAAAGTTTATGGTAACATTTCAACTTGGAGGCCGAATAAGACACTACTCATCAATCACCCACCTTATTATATATTATTCTTTACTCTAATTCTTAGTCACGCTTTAACTTTATTAAGATCTCTTAAGCATGGTTTCAATATGTGACTAACGTTATCTCCAAATGTATATATTTTACATCATCCACAATAGAAGCCAATTATGATCTTGCCGTTATCGAAGTAGATATGATTAACTGAATCATTAAAGAGAAGTAACAAATATGGGATAAGGCAAGCAAGGGCAAAAGAACAGTAGAAGAAAAGTTGTACAAAGTATTGAATTTGTAGGCATGAAATGTGGAAATGGGTGGTTTGGGGAAGTACTTTATTTCACTTTATGGTATTATTACCTGAGTTGCGTTTGGCATAGACATGCTCCCAACTAAGCAACGATGTGGTAGCTTTAAAGAGGAGTGTTTGGCATATGGAATATGAAGATTCTGGCAATGAGACTTATGAATATTTGTAGTGAAAAGGTGGGTCCAGTCTATGATAAAAGAATTCAACTCAAATGTGCAGATATATTTGGAAGACGAGGGTGACAGGCTTTTGCGCATTGCACCATTTTGGACCATTTCGTCACATGAAACTATTGTTTCTGGATGCTTGTGTTGTTGTGTGGGATTTTTCAAGATGACACAAACCCATTTTACACCTATACTTATTTACGCCATTGGTAAAATTGGTGGAGTAACATTACATTATATATGTATCACATCACATGCATGTGTTACCTTCTCACCAAAATATTCACCCTTCTATCTTTATGCCGATGTTTATGGCTTTTAACAATGGACAAAGTTATAATAAGCGCAGCCCCTAATTTGGGGTGTGTGGCGGAAAAAAGAGAGATTGTGAGAAAATTTTAGATAAAATATACTGTGTTTATTCACATGCACAATTAGAAAGAGGGTTCTGTGGTGTGAAAGGTACATGGGATGATGTAGAGTTACAGAGATGGAAGGGAAAGAAGGTGAAGTAGGTGTGACATGGGGTACAAATGAAATCACACAACACAAAAATTGAGGAGGAGAGTGTTGAATCTTCATGGATGGGCCTTCTTCCTCTCTCTTTTTTCCTTTGCTTTATCTGTTCAGATCAGAACAGAACAACGTACGCAGCTGCTGCACCACCCACCAAGCACCAATGTTGTTGCCCCACTCTCACTGTCACACTCCCTCCCTATGCTTCTTCTCACCCTCGCCCAAATCAAATATAACACACAACAAACCAAAACGTACGGATACGTTGCCTTCTCCTCTGCACCTTAACGTGTTCCTGTACCTCCTTATTCTAACCTCTTCTTCGTTATTATTTCTTTTACTTTCACTCTAAGCTCACATGTAATCATTCACCATCTTTTTTTTAATTGAAATAAAACATATGAATGATTTCGGTTACAACATCTTTAAGCTACAAGTTCGGTAAAGTGAAAGTATAATAATTAAGGATTTGAATTTAATTACAATGATTAGTGATGATGACAATAACTCTGCTATGTGATTGATTTTAATTAATTAACCTCGTTTAAAATTGAAGATAGTATTACGAGGTAGTGAAAGTTCAAAAATGACCTTTTGTGTAGCAGCTTTAAGTGGTTAAAACAGTGCGCGAGGAGTGCCACGTGTCAGAGATGATGAATGCAGTGCAGCGTATGGTTTGACTGGGCCTTTGGTCAATGTCTTGCAAAGAGAAAAGGAAATGTCCCTGATCCTCTGCGCCTGGGTACACCATAACGCGTACTTCTCTTTAACCTTTTCTCTTTTACTTGCGTTCAGACTAGTCTTCGCCCTAAACGAAAGCAACCTCTCGACACGTTTTTACACCCACCCTACCACAAAAGTAATGGCCTCTTCCAACGTCATCCATTCAAAAAATTGTTTTTTATTCTCAATTTTTCATACATTAAATTAATTCATATCCTGAAAGGACATAGTAAGAATAGTTTTTCCATTAGACACAAAATATAAATATAAACAAGTTGAAGTTCTCATATTCGTATGCAAAACAGAGCACAATTCCATTCACACTAAATAAAAATTTTGATCTATAGAGTTTGTTTGAGTACAAAATTAGATGAGTTTTTGGGAATTTTTCTACTAGGAAAAAAACTAGGTATTTGTAGTAAGAGAATTCCCAAAATGCACTTTTTACTTCTATCCACCATTTAATCAAAATACAAAAATAGAAACCCAACATTAATGCCCCAAAACCTTCTCATAAATCCCGTTATATCAAATTTGGAAAAACAAAAATAAAATGTGCATAGTATAATTAACGTGATCACTAAGGTTTTATACAAAAAAAAAAATGTATGGATATGTGGAAAAGAGAAAATCAAAATTTTCTATGATTTCCAAAGAAACGTATTTTGCAATTTATAGTAATTCTTGTAGAAGAAAATTGTAGGGAAACAAAAATTGCTGCCCAATAACAAAATTCATAGAAAAAGTCAGCATAAAAAAACTACAATAAAAATCTACATGCAATAAAATATCTAAGTTCATGTTATATTGTACAAGCTTTCTAATAATAATAATAATAATACCAAAGTAAAGGTATAAAAGTAATAGTGAAAACTTTTTATAATATTAAACCAACCATAGGAATTTGTATTACATAAAAAACAAAAGTTGTAAGTACAAAATTAAGTATTGACATGTTTATAGACTATGATGCAAATATATATATCACTTACAAATAACATATTTATACTCTTTTAAAAAACAGTAAATAAACAATACAGATAAAGAATAATTCTCTTGTACTATTCTTAAAATAACCTATTAAAAAAAAATAACATTTACATTAAAAAAACAATTGAATTTTTCATCCTTTTATTTAGTGTTCAAATAGTGTTGGTCATCCTGGTTTTAATTGCTGGATTTTGATTCTTACATTTGAAAAATTAATAATTTTTTACCTCATAGTTTAAGTTGTTCGATTATAATTTACACATTAAAAATAACAATTTTAATTATATGATTAAGTTGTCATCCAAAGTTTAATCTAAATAATACGATAAATCTATTAAAGCATCTGTATGATCTTAGTTTTTTTTTTTTAAGTTAAATCGTTCAATAAAATATATAAAACAAAATATGAATACGATAAAAATAAATCACAAAACTAACTATCAAACTAATAAAACAACTAATCGATTCTTGTATATTAAAATAGAGGATCCAAATATAAATTAACTGTTTATTTATATTTTTTAATGATTGTGAATCCAGATACTCTATTGTTTTATTTTATTTCTCATTATAAAAGGAGGTTGTGACGTGTTTGGTTATGTACTGATTGATTGACAAAGAGATTTTTATACGAAAATAATAGAAGTCATATATTTCAATGAAAACAATATTTTATTTTATACGAAAAAATTATAATATTAAGTGTATGTATAATTTCATATCTTCTGAGAGAAGTATTATAACATTGTTGTTGCTATGGTTAGGGTTCCAAACAACAACTATAACTTTAATTAATGATGTTTTTGCAACGACAATCATTTGTTTAAACAAACTTGTACTAGTGACCCACATTGTTGTCATACCAAACATGCCGTAGCAATCAAAGTAGATGTGATGAAATACTTTTTTCTATGTTATAGTCATATATTCATTGTTTATATAATAAAAAAGTCTCAATCATAACTTTTCATTTCCTGAGCCTTTAAATTCTTGAAATTTAACTTTTTCTATTAATTTGTGTTTCTGCAAAGTATGCATTTATTTTGGTTACAATAATAGAAGTACTACATTTTTTATTAACAGTAGTATATATCTTTTAATGAAAACAATAAATTACAATATTGATGTAGAAAGTCATTAAGATAAAGACAAATTATTAAGAATGTTTAACTCAATCGGTTAAATAGGTGCATAGATATAAATGATTATAATTTTTTTTATGGGCTAAACATGGCAAGTTTTTGTCACATACACATGAATAAAAATTATTATATTAATAATTGTCTATCACTAAATTTCTTGCTCTCATGAAAAGAATTTGGACAATCATTCATAGGCATCAAATATGGATGGCTAACATTAATTCACTTGTCTAATTTTATTTTAGATATCTCCCAGGTAATTGAAACACCACCACAACTTAGCATGTAAAGCTCTAATAATTGAAGTTTCTTTTAAAACAATGTACATGTTTATTCTTAGTCTAATTTCACCGTGCAATTAAAAAAATAAAAATAAAAAGTACATGAATCATAATAAAATTATGGATGGGATCGATTAATTAATTCAATATAAAATATAAGTTTAAGATTTTATCATTGATACAATTTAATGGGTAATGATGTGAGTATTATTAGATCTAAGTAATTACATTAAAGATATTATATGGTTTTTTGGTATTTATTTTCTTTTAAAAAATATTTATTTAATTAAAAATAAACATAATTTTTATTTGTTATATATTTTGAAAATAATGACACTCTGTCCTTATTATATGTTTGTCTATAATATGTTTGTTTTAAAAATAAGTAATTTTTTTGGTTGTCCTTAATATATGACTTCTTAATTTGTTTTGCAAGATTTTTATAATATAACTTCATATATTAATAAAAATAATGAAGTTAATTTGATTAAGTTTTTAAAATATTTTGTTATCACTTTATTAAATTCAATTTCATTATTAATGACTTTTAAATTTGTATTTTCAATATTTCTAAAAAAAACACATATTCATAATATTTAAAAGAAAAAAAATAAGGAAAAAAATAATTGATGTTTCATAAAAACTATAAATTATTAATAAAATAGACTAACGATCTCTTCAACTGTGTCATATACGAGCCACATAATAATTTTGTTCTTGTTTTAATAAACAAATATCATTTTTTTAAATAAATAATTATTAAAAAAAGTAGTTATTTCAAAATATAATATTTTATGTTTAAAGAAACTAACCAAATATATTGTAAATATTAAAGAGTGTTGTTTGCGATAATAATTTTCTATTACAAAACACATAAATATAAAACAAAAAATTACTAATGAAAACTACTTTTTTTTAAATAACTAAAATTAAAACTTGTTAAAATTATACTAAGTAATTTTATTAAAATGTACATAATACTAAAAGATATTTCGCGAAACATACTACTAAGATATCTACTTTGTCTGGTTTAAATTAGAATAAGCCAAATCATTCATAAACTTAACTACCTAAAAAAACTCAAGGTCTAAAAAAATAAGGTATTATAGAATCTAAACTGTGATTCATATATTTTTATTAAACTCTTCCTCAAAAAGAAAAAGAAAAAAAATCCTATTAAACTTGTCATATCAACGCATGAATATATCATGTCACACGAGATCAATCAATTTACACTATATTTTTGAAGAAGAAAAAGGTACTCTATAAACCTACTCACGACCTAGATGCTATAATCTCCCTGATCTTCGGGTTAAGATTGAGGATAATAGGTAAAAATATAAATTTATACTTAAACAACAAAGTATTAGGTATATACAAAAAAAAATAAAAAATTAAAGATTCCAAATATCATAGTACATGATATGATAGCCAATGTGTTTAAGACAAATCATGTGAAACTCGATTGATATATTTTTCCCTTAAAACAATTACACATAAAATCTTTTTAAGTTTCAAGTAAATCAACCTTTTTTTTCTCTAAGATTAATTAAGTTGAATATTTTTATATTTGAAAATAACAAAAACTTTTATGTTTTTTTTTATCTAAACAAGTGGACATAGAAAATATCCACTGATTCAATCTGATTTTTTTTTTTTCAATTAACTCATTAAATCATATCAAAAACTCAACTACCATTTCAATTTAACCAATAATAAGTTAAAATGCATTAAATATTTGAAAGTAGAAAATTTGTTTATTCTTTTTTTATCCATTCAACCAGGACAGCATTACAAACTAATAGAAGATGAATTAAAGATTTCACTTAAGACTAAATTGGTGATCCATAACATTTGATTTAAATCAATGTATTTTTTTTTTCTGGAAAAGTTAAGAAATAAAGAAAATATAAGATAATTGGATTTTTGGTTTCTTTACATCTTATAAACTTTTTACAAACTATCATCCCATATTAGTCTGGGGATGAAACAAATTGTACAAACGTAATTGCATTGATTTTATTGTTACATTGGGTTTTGTGATCTGTTAAAAGCTTTAACTTATATCAATTTTACATTGAATAGATGAACCTAGCAAGGTGCCACAACTACACTGTATCTCTGACTATCTTCATGCGCTGTGGCGGCGTAGAAACACAGCACCTGTTTTGCATCTATAGTTAATAAAGAATTTTTGAAACATCATTGGAAATAAGAAAACTAATGTTCCAATTTCATGTGGTGTAAGGTTAATCCAAATTCTGTTTTAATTTAATTGCTAGGTTTCTAAAATTATCGACTTTATGTTTATTTCTCTAATCTACTAATGTTTTTTATTTTAAAGTTTGATAGTTGAATTAAAAAAAATGATCTTCTTTTTCAATAATTAAAAAAAACATATTTATACCTCTATAAATCAAACACTCTATAAACTTATCTTTCTTCTCTTTATTTCAATATTTCTATAACTATGTCACTAGGTGTTTTTCTTGGTTTGATTGAAATAAAATTAAAAAAAGAAAAAAAAATTGAATTTGAGAAACAAAAATTTGATTTTACTATTTGTCCTAGTTTAAATTTTAAACTTATGACATAAAAGAAAGAGAAATGATATAGATTAATTAATGTTTTTTTTTTCTAATATAAGTATTGCAGTAATAATAAAAAAAAGATTTTAGTTGTTGAAGATTGACCTTAGTGGACATTTACAAGACATTGTTGACGTGGCGGTCCTTCCTCAAACACCTATCACCTATCTTTCATATTGTACGGTTCCTCATACAATACTGCTTCTCTTCTCTTCTACACTTCCCCTGTTCCTACTTCTTCTCATTAATCAATAATCAATCCATTCTCTCTGTCCCTCTCTTTTCTCTCGGACTTCCACCACTCCTCAAACAAATCCAATTATAAAAATACCCTGACATCTCATCACACCACCAAAGTTTATTTTAAATAAACACACAACTCGGTGACGTTATTATCACATCAAATAATAATTCAAATTACATGTTGTCGTTATCGATTCCATTTTTGTATTTTTTTTTTAATATTTTATATGTATTTGATGTAAAAGTTAAATAAATGGCCATAGAAAAAAAAAATCAGAATATTGGTATTTGGTAGTTGGGACAGAGGTTTTGATGTTTCTAAAAATATTTAGAAGGGGTGAAAGACTGAGAGGATAACAAGGATAGAGGGGTAGTGCTGAGGCAGAAACTGCTTCATTTTTCTGTTATCTAAATCTGAATTTAATTCCCTCCAAAACGTGGAAGCCATGCTCCTTTACTGGAACCACAATTTCCCACTCAGCAGCTTCCACATGTCGTAGTGTGAACGCCCCACGTGTCAGGCGATGATGGAGCCGGCGGCATCTTATCCCCTGTATCCTGGGTGCAGACAATCATTACCCCCGCAATCCACAGAGGGAAAAGGTGTATGAGAAGAAAGAGTCAATCATGATCGCAGATCACAAGTCTCAACTAACCTCCCCTCGTATTTAAAAACTTTAGCCAAGGCATCCAATTCCAAATCCAGCGGTTTTTTTCTACTTTCATTTGCGTCTCCACCTCATTCACTTTCTCTCTCTCTTTCTATTTCTCTCAGTATCTCCTACTGCCACCTCATCTCACCGGAAAAATACCTTCTCTCGTTCATCACTGATCCCCTCCTTAACTTCCCCATAGAGTAACATATCAGATAACTTCTCCAATATTTATTACTCATTCTTTTATTCAATATTCTAATTCTGATTCCAATATTCTAATCCTGACTTAGACCTTGCCCCTTCATTTCACACTTGACATATTTGTTTTATTCATTTATTATTATTATTATTATTATTGCTGTTGTTATTGTTGTTATTAGTATTTCACTATTTTACTTATAATCTCGACTCGACTCGACATATAACCGTTTTTATCTTCCTCGCCTCACGCAAATTACTTCACGCCCCCCCCTTCTGCTACTGATCGCCTAATTGCGCTCATGAAGCTTCACCCAATCGCCACCGCCGTCATCCACAGTCGCCGCCGCCACCGCCACCACGTCCAAACAACGCTTTCGCCGCAGTGATATCGATATTAATCTTCTACATGCATCCTTTCTGCTGTGTATCCGCCATTTCCGACCAGGCCTCGCCAGTGAAACCCTCGTTCGCCGACTTCGCCATGCCGCCACTCCCTGCCGCCGCCGCCGCCGCAGTGAGATCCGATTCGGCTCCGCGGCACAGCCACAGCGGGAGTCTGCGGGAGCAGCCTGTGGACGTGAAGATCAACGATCTCGTCGGGAACGGAATCTCCGGAATACTGTACAAGTGGGTGAATTACGGCAAAGGATGGCGACCGCGTTGGTTCGTACTCCAAGACGGTGTTCTCTCCTACTACAAGATTCACGGACCTGATAAGATCGTCGTGAATCCCGAAACCGAGAAAGGCTCCATGGTCATCGGCGAAGAATCCATGCGCAGAATCACTCGCAACCGCAATTCCTATCCCTGCCAGCACGTGCGAAAGCCGTTTGGGGAAATCCATCTCAAGGCACGACCTAACTCTACTCCTCCTAACTTAATTTCATTTATTAGGGATTCTGGCGGGACTTATTTGCCCTGCGTTTGCAGGTTTCGACCATTCGCGAGAGCAAATCGGACGACAAGCGATTCTCGGTCTTCACCGGAACGAAGAGGCTCCATCTGAGGGCGGACACGCGTGAGGATCGCGTGGCGTGGATGGAGGCGTTGCAGGCCGTGAAGGACATGTTCCCGCGGATGTCGAACAGCGAGTTGATGGCTCCTGTGGACAATGTGACCATTTCGACGGAGAAACTGAGACTGAGGCTTCTGGAAGAGGGAGTGAGCGAGGGGGCTATTCAGGACAGTGAGCAAATCATGAGGACTGAGTTTGCGGCGCTGCAAAGCCAGCTTGTGCTGCTTAAGCAGAAGCACTCCATTCTCATTGACACTTTGCGCCAATTAGAGGTACGTCTAGTCAAAACTCCAACACTTCGTCACATTTAAAAATAGTGCAATCGTAAGTTGAATACCGTAAATTGGTGTATGGTACAAAGTACAATATTTTGTGTACGGTATCACTTCATAAGGGGATCTATTCTTAGTAACATATAAATATTTGATCGGAGAAGTAGGCTATGGTTAGCCGGTAGTTTATATGAAAGTTTCAAAGTTCTTTTTCCTTGTACCTGTGCCTTTTACTGGCCTAGTTATCAATACCAGAATCCTGGTGTAAGTTGTACCTTCAACTTATTACATATACGTTCAAGTGAACGCTGCTTGAAAGAGATTTGTATGAGATGAAGTGGGTCACCTCGTGAGACATACACATATCTCTCGTTTTCATTTTTCTTTCTCTAAAAATTTTCTACCAGTTAAAATGCTGCTGTTACATATTTTGAGTGTTCTGCACTGCCTAGATATAAATGAATGGATTAAGGTTTATTCCCTCCCTCCTTTATGTTCTGCAATTGGCCTTCGTGAATGAAAAACATAGTTTCTTTTACCCTGGAAGACAATATGTGCAGACCTGGAATTATAATGTACTTTTATTAGCATATTTTCTAATTAAGTCTATTAAATCATGCATTATAAGGTGTTACAGTCATCAAGTTAAATACATTGAATTATTCACTGTTTACGTGGTTTAACAAAATGGTTTCATTTTATTTGCAATTTGAATTTGTACATGGATAGTTTATTTTATTTTAATGCTTCTTTCAGTTACCTTTTTAACTTGTTGACCAAGGATAAATATTTTTTATCTTCACGTGTATTAGTAAACTTTTATCTATGTTGTATTGTTGTAGACAGAAAAGGTTGATCTGGAAAATACAGTAGTTGATGAGAGCCAAAGACAGTGGAATGATGAAGAGGCTTCCTCAAGATTAGCGCAAGAAAAGTTTAGTGGTAAGACCTCTCCATTAGCAGCACGTTTATGTAGATGTCTCATTGTTTTGGTGATGCAATTTCTTTTCCATTTGTTTATGTTCCAATATCTCTATCTATCTATGATACACGATGCCCCTTCCTTTCTATTGCTTTTTTTTTTTTTTTCTGAACTCCCCCCATCTCTCTTTAAGTTATATCAAATATTTGTTTATAAATTAATGAATTGTAGTGCTCATACCTGCTAACCAATTGTTATGCCCTTACTGAGCCTTTTACACTATTATTTTTTTTTTCCCATTTTTAATTCAGAAGGAACTGCAAGTGAATCTGAAGATGACAATGAGCGAAATGACGCTGCAGAGGAAGAAACCGACGATGATGACAACGCCTTTTTTGATACTCGTGATATTCTATCTTCCAGTTCTTTTAAAAGTAATGGGTCTGATTATCGAATGTCATCCTTCTCTTCTGATGATGAAGGATTCTATGCTTTTGAATCAGAGGATGACATAGATCCTTCGATTAGATATGTTGGAACCAATTATCCTCATGTTAAGCGGCGAAAGAAATTGCCAGACCCTGTAGAAAAAGAGAAAGGTGTCAGTCTGTGGTCAATGATTAAGGATAATATAGGGAAGGATCTAACAAAAGTTTGCCTTCCTGTTTATTTTAACGAGCCTCTTTCCTCCCTACAAAAATGTTTTGAAGAAATGGAGTATTCATATCTTTTGGACCAAGCATATGAATGGGGAAGAAGAGTAAGTCTGAATTTGGCTGACAGATCTATATTGCTATGTAATATTAAGGCAAATCTTAATGCTTGAATATAATTGTTTGATTGATATGAGAAATATTTCAATGCTGTATTGGGTGCATTTTCCCAATTTTAACTAGTTGAAGATAACGTGACAGGGTAATAGCCTCATGAGGATTCTCTATGTTGCGGCTTTTGCTGTATCTGGCTATGCTGCAACAGAAGGAAGGGTGTGCAAACCATTTAATCCATTACTTGGGGAAACATACGAGGCTCACTATCCAGATAAAGGCCTTCGGTTTTTCTCGGAGAAGGTATAATCTAATCTTTGGCGGTGAAATGAATAACAGATTACCTATTTTCAACGTAAGCAAAGTAGGAAACTAGATATTATGGGGTGTCCAAGTCCACCTCCAGTAGTATGAGATATTCGGTGGAATATTTTAGTACTTGATTCTCCCCCTTGGTAGTAGCTTTTGAGGGTGGGTTTCCCAAGTGTTTGGGTAGTTATCAATATCAAACCATGATAATTTCTGCTCTTCCTTCTACATTCCTTTATGATTGCCACCCAATTTACTTATTTATGAAAAGGGGTCAAGCAAAGTATCAAACCATGGTAATTACTGTGTGGACTTTTCTTTTTTCCTTTTTAAGGTCTTAATCATAGTTATTAGAATGGTTTGTTTGAAGGAAATTGTATGTACCAACCACGCATTTTGAATTTCTTACAAACAATGGCTTTTGATTAAAAGGAACAGACACTGAGGACCTAAATTTTAGAAACTGCACCTTTTATTTCATGAATAAGAGATGTAATGTGAGTGCCTAAGTTCCATAGAATCCTCTGAACACAGGATTTTGGTGTCAACAAAATGGATACACTTGGGCTTTTTTACTTTATATTGCCTTTTAGAACTTATTAACATTTCTGCTTCCCCTCAGGTCAGTCATCACCCTATGATCGTCGCATGTCACTGTGAGGGTACAGGTTGGAAATTTTGGGGAGATAGCAACCTAAAGAGCAAATTTTGGGGGCGATCAATTCAGCTTGACCCTGTTGGTGTTTTGACTTTGGAATTTGATGATGGGGAAGTTTTCCAGTGGAGCAAGGTATATATTATCTGCTTCAACTGATACGATATGCTGCTTTGGTTTTAGTTTCTAAAAGGACTTATTTTTTCAGGTTACTACATCAATATACAATCTCATTTTGGGAAAGCTATACTGCGATCACTATGGTACAATGCGTATACAGGGAAACCACGAGTACTCGTGTAAGCTGAAATTCAAGGAACAATCTATAATTGATCGAAATCCTCATCAGGTGCTCTTATATCTGTTGCACGGTCTCTAATTTCTCACATTTAACAGATCCATTAGCTTTGGCATTCAATTGTCATTCTTCTTGGGTTTGTGTAAGACTTAGTAGTTGTCTTACTGTATCAACTCAATATGCTCCCATTTTTGTTTAAGGAAAATAGTGAGGGCTTTGCTATTAACTGGACTTTTCATTTATCTTCATACTGTAGATATACGAAATTTTGTTACCGGGGTTGTCTCTTATTGTGGTTTATCTGCTTTTCTAGGTTCATGGTATCATTCAAGATAGGAACGGAAAAACTGTGTCAACTTTGTTTGGAAAATGGGATGAAAGCATGCATTACGTTAATGGAGACTACACCGGTAAAGGGAAAGGTCATGAATCTTTGTCAGATGCCCATTTGCTCTGGAAGCGAAGCAAGGCTCCGAAGATTCCCACTAGATATAACTTCACTCGCTTTGCCATTACACTAAACGAACTGACCCCTGGATTGAAGGTCTGTTTTGTTAACTGATACTCTCTTTTTTATTGCCATTCTTCATATTAAAGTCCAGGAAAAACACTGTATTTTCACTGCAAGTTGTGATTGGTTGTGTATGCTTTAACTGGAGTTCACTGGTTCTTGCAATAGCAAGGGGACACTAACTTGTTTCTCTACAAAGATGAAGTATATCCAAAAAAAGGAATAAAATAGTCCTATCATCTCACTGTGTACAT